GGGGTGGGGGGGAATAGGGGTGGCGACATCGAAAGATTGTTTCATCTAGGGGGAGCTTAAAAAATGTAGGGACAACAAGTATGGTGGTTGTCCTGGGGTGATGACAGCGATGAGATGAGGTGGATAATAGTGGGACAACATGAAGGAAGTGTTTCCTGGTTGTTCTGGGCATCAACGACATGGTGGGAGGGTTGGTACGATAGGAGCGAGGGGTAGTTTGGGTGGTAACAACCTCAAAAGGGAGGTGGAGGTGATTGGGAGATTAGATGTTTCAGGAAAGAGCAATCAGACTGTTGTTGTGGGTGTTGCAGTGAGATACGACGACCAGGAGAGATGTGGGAGGATGCGAAAGGAATAGAGGGAAAATAATCACCACCTTAGGAGAGAGATATAACCAAAGCGCCACCGTATCTCTCGGATACAACACTCGAAAAGGAAAATGGACGTCCACGATTGTCCTGACAAACATCTGAATTTTGGAAGACCAAAAACTGACCCTGACCAAAACAAACATCACTTATATATAATGATGAATACTAAATATAATATGTATTGAATAGAAATAGAATGGTGATAGAAAATGAAGGACGTAGACAAGGAAAGTGCTAGAAAAGAAAGGACTAGACAAGGTAAGGAATCAAATAGGAAAAAGTGGCCACAGTACTGTAGTAGATACAATATCACATATGCAGTACTATAGTAGCTACAGTATCGTATCAACTATACTGTAGCAGTTACAATACCACGTCCTGACAAGCTCTCACATCTCATTTTTAATTTTTTTAAGTAGTTTGGTTTTTAACCAAGATTATGTGCATGCCTAGTCATCACTGAAATTAGAATTTCCATTTAGAAAAAAATACCTTAAATGCTTTCTTCTAAATGTCTAAGAAATCAAATAAATTCAAACAATCTCCTTTTGAACGTCTTCAATTCATTAATTTGCTTTATAATACTCATTTAATTAAAATTAAATAGCTTGATGGCATTAATTTTAATTTATTCAATAAAGGTCGCTTATTGGAACCAAATAGTTTGAAAATATTGGAATCATGCTTTAATGGATTAGATAGGGTTTAAAAAGATGAATCAGTCATATTTAAAATGATAGACCAGAGTAAGGCATGAAGGATTTTTAGATGAAAAGTTGAACCTAAACTCTATAAATAAGCCTAATAGGTTGACTAACCTATAAGTTAGGAATGATTTCCTGGCCAAGATACCCATGGCTTTCCATCATCCCGGGAAAACCGGTTTCCATGAACTATAACCAGTCTCATAACCAAGAATTCCCTTTAAATATTGTAGTTCAAGGGAATCGTAGTTTCAAAGAGGTTTGAAAAATCTTCATCAATAATCATCGGTTACATCATTCTAAGGTATTCCCTTAAGTCTCATGGGGTAGGTTTAGGTGTTTTGTATATCCTAGTTCTTAATTCTAGCTAGGTACCTAAACTGTCTTAGGCTTCTATACTCAGACTAACCTACAGTAAGTGTATGCCCCTGAGTTATGGTGGCTATGTTAGCTAACATAGGGTTCATGTCGAATTTGCCTAGGTTATATTTCAATTTTTTATCTTGGTGTATTTTAACTATAATTTGAAGTTCAATATTCAATTAATCATTTTTTTCAATTTCTAGATTTTGTCAGTGAAGTTGGATAATCAAGGTTTTCTAAGTTTTGAAGTTTGTATTTTTTATATTTTTGTTTGAGAGGAAAACCACCTAGGAGGGACTTCTGTCTTTTATTTTAGTTTTTTATTTTTTTTTCATTTTTTTAATCATTTTTGTTTGTTTTTAAACATGAAAAATGTACAATGAGACATACAAGACATGCAATGCATAACATGAAATAACACAATAAAACGTGGAGACATTCATAAAATAGCATAACTATAGGCTTGGATTACACTTGGACCGATTCAGGGTAGTTCAGGTTTAAACTGGGTCGACATGGGTTGACCTGAGTTGGCTGGGGATGAGTTTATGATTGACTTGGGTAGGCTTGGGTTTAACTTGGGAATGACTTGGGTTGATCTCGATAGGTTAGGGTTTGATTTGGATTGACCTACGTTGACTTGGGTTGGCCTGGGCAGCTTAGGGCTTGATTAGGGTTGACCCAGGCAGGTTAAGGTTTGATTAAGCTTGACTCGTGGAAGTTAAGGTTTGATTTTGGTTGGCCCAGGTCCTCAAGATTTGATTTGGGTTCACTCGAATTGACTTGGGTCGACCCGACTAGGTTAGGGTTTGATTTGGGTTGATCTGGGTTCAACCGAGTAGGTTTGAGTTTGAGTTTGAGTTTGCTTTAGGTTTAGGGTTTGGGCTAGGTTGGGTCAGACCTGGGATAGGTTTAGGTTTTAGGTTAAGTTAGGTTAGGTTAGACATGGGTTAGGTTTAAGTTAGATTATTTTTTTGCTACCATGTTGATATTCATATAGTCAATTATATACTCTGGCTTATTTTTAATATCTTCATTAAATCATCACCCATTTTATTTGTATGTCTAATTTTACATATGAACATGTAATCTTCTTGTTACTTCATATCAAGCCTCAAGAAAAAGTGAAGTTCTCTTATCACTTATTTCATATTATGGCATAAAAATTAATTTATATTTTCACATAGAATATCATTAATATAGATTTATATAATGATTATATCATTATTTAATTTTTTTTATAAGTAGAACGCCATGTACTCAACTGTTAAAAATTATTATCATTTTAAAATGAAATTAACCTCAATGACTTCCACCAAGAGACATATACCTTACAACATTTCCTTTCATACACCTCCTCATAGCAATTGGCCTTCCAAGTGCCTTCTACACAAAACCTAATCATCTAGTACCCCAACATGGTATGAAAAACTATTTGACCTCCTTGCCAACTTCTTCATAAGCCTCCTTAGCAACTTGACCTCCCATCACCAAATTTTTCCAAGTTGGTCATTTTGGCAATTTTTCTAAGTTGCCTCTCTAAAGAACTGGCTCCCTTTTAGAGAATTTACCAAACTATGTTTCGATTGACATTACGAGATCAATAAACTTAAGAAACTTCATTTCAAGTTAGGTTGGGTCAGACCTGGGTTAGGTTTATGTTAGATTGGGCTAAACCTGAGCTAAGTCTGGTCTAGGTTGGTTCATACCTGGGTTATGTTTAGGGTTTGGGTTAGGTTGAGTCAGGTCTAGGTTGGGTCAGACCTGGGTTAGGTTTAGGGTTTGGGCTAAACCATTTGAGGGATTAGGATTAAGTCGAGTTCGGGACAACCTGATTCAAACTCAAACTCAAGCCTAATCCAAGGCTATTGAGGTAAACTAATTTATTCTTAAACTTAAAAAACTTAAACTTAACTTAATCATATTTAAATAGAGTAAAAATACTTATAAAGGAGGCAGCTGACCAAAGGATGAGAAGGTTCGTCTAAGAGAACAGGAGGAAGACACTTCGACACTGCACCTTGCACTGTTTTCTGCCCTCTACACTGAATTGTGGATTGCACTCAATTCTCTTCTATATGAGGCACGAACAACTGCCTTTTATAGGCGGTGACTATCCTGAGTCATCAATATCAAATGGGAAATGGACTGACCGGATTACTCCAGTTATTTTCGCAACCATGGACGATTCCTGGATGTTCAGAGCCGTTTGATTGATTGGACAGTCGTGAGGCCAAACCGTGGACGAAGGTCACAGATTAGTGACACAACTGAGAGAGAAATGAAAGAAGTAGGGTGGCGTGACCACACCGAGCCCAAAAAGGGACATGTGACTTTTTCTTAAGGTTCAAAGGCACTGGGACCTTTCCAAAAGCTCTATATAACTAAAGAATCTACATACGACCAAAAAATGAGATCAACAACATTCACTTCATCTCATTAAGTGTTTCTGCATAAAATCTTCACGAATGTGACATTTGGGCATCATGCTAAATCCTAAATCATGCAATATTGTCTGATGTATCTCTCAAGAATCAAACCATCAATTAGGCATCCTCCATCGCTATCAGTATCACATCTAGCTTAGAGGTTGCCTATAAAGGCCACACCCTCTTTCCTCTTCTAAAGGATCTTTTAGACTAATTGAGAGATGAATTCTTAGTGCAAGAGGAAATAAATGACCTTTTTTCTTAATTTCTTCTCAAGTGGCATCTCTCATACCATTTTAAAATTGCAAAAGGAGAAATCACTTAAAAAATGTCACATAAAATTGAAGTTTTAAAAGTATTAAAGCAAAGCAACTTATGAATGTAAATCTATTCTCTGACTCAGAGCCATAGACTAGATTTTTTGCCAAAATTACTTAAAAAATTATTTGCGTGCATCCTTTTTTAAAATTTTTACAAAATTTGGCAAGCAATCCCTCAAATTTTGCCAATTTATCATGAGAAACTCCAAAAACACAAAAAAAAAGAGAAAGAAAAAAAAAAAAAAACTCCAAAATGGCTACGAAAGGAAATAAACAATTTCAAGGAGAAGGTGACCGAAAGATTGGGGTTTTAGATGGGCTAGCCGGCTATCATTCCATTAAAAGGAGATGGAGTAAGAGAAGTTGGAGCTACAACATGGGGAGGGTGGCTGATTCAATTGACGGAGGAGTTAGGAAGGATCCTCTTAAGATTTTTGTTGAGTCCTTAGTGGATTCATGGTTGTGTACCAGCTTAACCATAGCGATATTGAGGACTAAAGCTGTGGAAGGCATAACATGTTGAACATATGTGGCATAATTGAGCTTATTAGTATCCCTTATGGCGGGTATATGAGATCGCGCTCGGCTCCGACTCCTTCTATGAGTAGGAACATTAGGTAATGATTTGTAAGTCGGGCATTTGGGGCACAAAGCATGTTCATGTGCAATGGTTTAACAAGCTTTACACATGGAAGCTTTACAGGCTGCTGCATTTCTCCCCCTAAGTAAGGAAAAAATATTACATCGGCTCTAATCACATCACGTGTACGGTCTGATTCCACTGATTACAAAAAAACTAAATAGTTTAATGCATGACAGGGCTGAACCGTACACTTGACGCATTGTGATTGGAATCATAATGAAGATAATAATGGAATCAACAAGGTTGAATCAATTGAAATTTGTATACTAACCCACCCTCTCAAAAGTTAGTCGGGCTTTTTTACCAACGAATGAGCCAATCGGCGGTGAGATTCTTATTTTACTAGCAATTTTAGAAATCCGACCAATAGCAAAGTGGAAAATTAGTAAATTTTACTTTTTTAAATTCTTCTTTAATGGATTGAGAGTTAGGATTCCACCACTTAAGAATAACAGGCTTTCCACTAACCAACTAAAGTCCACCATTGAAGACCATTTCTAAATCCTCGGCACAGTTGAATTCAAAGAAAAGTTTCCAGAACTACAGAGATCAAGCCTACATTACCTCACAAACAGAAGGCAATAAACGATTTCCAGAACTATTCCACAAAAATAAAATCGAATATTTAAATAGTCACCGACACCTAACTAAATTCTAACCGTATTACACGCGGACATTACCGAATTCTGTTTAGCTTATCCGTGATTCCAATCAAACTCTCCAGTTTCCTTCCCTTTATCAGTTTCACAGATCTCTCAGCGGCTGTTTGATGGGCTGTCTATGAGTAGGTATTAATTGCTTAATTTGCTTTTATTTTGATTAAGATATAAGAAATCAGTAAAAAGGTCAAACTTTTAGTCTTACGCAATGATATTATTTCAATTTTATTTTAAATATGACAATATTGTTTACTTTAATCCAACTGTCTATACACCGATCCAGAACTGTACACAGCTTTTAACAAATAGTAGGAATCTCAATAATACTAATTTTATTTCCCACAACATAGTAAAAAAAAGTAAATCTTAATCACTCTAAAGTAGTAGATTTATCAACTCCAGGAAGGGTGGTCCGTTTGGGGGGAGCTTATAAGTGCGGGGGCATTTTTGAAAATGCTGCGGTACCGTTTGGATTGTGTGTTTCGCTCGCTTATCCGAAAACGCGGTTCCATTTTTACACTAAACGCAGGCAGCGGGTCGAACCCCGCGATTGACGCGAGGGCCGCGTTTCATGATAAGCTGCTTATCCTGAAAAGCACAAACTGCCCAAACACAGCTAGTTGTTGGTGCGACAGAGATGAACTCACGAGCTATGCGAAGGTAGGAAGAAATGCTTAAACCAGTTAGATTTACTAAATCTGAATTTACGTCCTAAAAGTGATTTGAAATGAGGGAAGAAAAGAAGGAACACAAAAAAAATTTAGATTTAACGGAATGTTGGATTTAATTTATATTTTTTTTAATGTTTGGCTGGATTTACACTAAATTCATGGCTAATTCTTCTTTAAATCATGTTACCAAACATTCATTTAGGCTCCTCAATCGGAGTAAACATTATGCGCTACCAAATGTGCACTTAGCTTGTCTGCATGTAATATTTCATCCTACGATTTCTCTATTGAGCAAATAAAACAAAATCGAAGAAGAGGAAGAAGAAATGAGAAACATTGAAACAGAATAAATGGATTATATGCATATAATTGCGAAAAATGTGAGAATTACATAATGTAAATTATAATAAACACATGAATTAGCCATTGACCATGCAGACCAACAGATGATAAAAATGGGGCATAAAGCTTATATATTTATAATGGAAATAGGAAAAAAAAAAAGAAAAAAACATTAGCTTCATTCCATCTTCTTTTCTCTCAATCACTTTCTTTTTCTCTGTCTCTATCTTCTGATTCTCCCCTTTTGTTCAGAAAACCAGTAACATATTACAATAAAAAACTTAAAAAAATAAATAAAGCATAAATAGACAGCACAAAGTTCAAATCACAGTACGCCCAAATTCGTTAATTAAGAATGCATTCACATTTTCTCCAATTTTCTGTAGCCCAATCTATGACAAAGAGCACGATTGCCTAACCTGAGAGGTTATTGAAAGCATCGCACCTCCGGCGAACCTCACCGTTCCTTCCGGTCTTGACACCATAGATACTGAGCTTTTGCATCGAGTGAGCAAAGTCCTCGAAGAATACGTTCTGGTTTTCAGCATAAAGCTTCACCAATGGCGCCGTCCGCGGATCCGATGCTAACTTCTGATCCGTGGCGAGAAGCCCTAATCCCCTCAGCAGATTTTGGTAATACAAGTTATCGAACTTACCCGGCGTCATGATGTCGTTGAATGTCGCGATGGTGGGATCCTTGAGGTAATTCGCACATGCCTTCTGCAAAGCCTGGGCGAAACGAGGATTCATGGTCGGATCATAAGCGAATGGACCGCCATTATTGAAGTTGAAGATCCGGTTGGCGTATTCAGTGCAATGTGAGAATCCCACGGTGTGAGCGCCGGAGAGAGCGACGAAATCTCGGATGGTGAAACCCTTGGATGCGAATAGATGGATGATTTTATCAATAGATGTGTTAGGGCGAGCGAGATTGGACTCAACGTAAGCGGCGGTGGAGGTGAAGGAGTCCTTGCGGCCAAGGCGGATGGGGTAAAAGGGGCCGCCGAGCATGGAGACGAGATCTCGAGTGGCGATCGCGAGGATATCGGCGCAGGAGACGATGCCGGGGCATTGGAGCTCGAGGGAAGCCTTGGCACGGACGATGGCGTCGAATGCGTCGCCGGGAAGGGAATGGTTGATGTCGGCGTCGCGCTCGGCGACGTTGAAGTTATTGGAGGAGATGAGGACGGAGGCGTCGCAGCCGGAGACGAAGCAGTCGTGGAAGAAGAGGCGGAGGACGCCGGCGCCGGTAGTGGGGCTGTTGATCTGTTTGGTGGTGATGATGTCGGAGATGATCTGGTGGACGCGGGGGCAGGAGGTGTTGTAGTAGTCGACCGAGAGCTTGGCGGAGACGGAGAAGGAGGTAGAGAGGAGTAGAAGAAGCAGGAAGGGCAACATTGCTGCTGCGGTGGTGGGGATGATGGCGACGGCGGAGATGGTGGCGAGGGGGATTTCGTCGGCAACGGCGACGGGGATCCGGCGAGGGGGGGGGGGGGTGGGTTTTGTGGGGGGGGGAA